ATTTAAAATAAATGCCCACACGAATTTCAGAGTTTGCTTTCGACAGCAGACATGTTTTTTTCTTTTAACTCTTTGTCCTGTGTTCGCTAAGAAAGCCTCTTTTAGCAAGCTCATTAAGGGTCTGGCCAGGCCCACAAAGAGGGGGCAGGTGATGAGGGACGCGGTAGACACGTTAACAAAGAGTCCTCCATTGACTTTATCGCTCTCTTCTGTGTTGAAGTAAGACGGAAACGGCCTCGTTTCTGGCAACCAGAAAACTGGATTCTCCTTCACAACGCCTCGGCACATCACGCTCTCCTAGTTACAGAATATCTGATAAAACACACTGGATTCCGCTCCCAAAGACATTTGTCTTCACGAAACTGAAAACTCAAGGTAGTGGTCAGATTCAAGTCAGTACAAGCAGAGGCGAATCCACGGAGGCTAACAGGAGCTTAACTCCCTCCCATTGACACACAATAAAATTTATTTATTCGAACTTCTATTCTTCTCGTTTCACGCGATCCCAATTGGATTTTCATCCCTGCACCATGCATTATATATAATGCTGTATTTAATATTATTGCTAAAATTCGAGGTGGAATCAGAGCCGGAATTTTTTCATCCTATTCNTTATTGCCAAAATTCGAGGTGGAATCAGAGCCGGAATTTTTTCATCCTATTCCACATTACCGCGTTGTAAAAAGAAACGGAAAATTCGGCAGACACACAAAAGTCGTCTTCAACTCTGCTCTGACTTGGCATTGGTATTGTCATCAGTGCGCCCCACGTCCACTCGTAATGGTTTAAATTCGGACCTAAATTCCATACGCGTGAAGATGGATGCACACGTGACTCGAAACGAAAACGCAGAATCGCAAAACGTAAGCGATTTATTTCTGGGCGCATGCGTTCGGCGTTCAAGATGGGGCAAAGGGGTGTGCCACTTTTCTATTTATAGTTTGTTTTAATTATCAAGACTTCTGCAAAACAGAAAGTGTGGAAAAAAAAAAAACATTTTTGTACAAAAAAATTAAAATTATAAATTTTATGTGAAAATATATTTTAATATGCCCACATTCATTGCGCCAAACTACGCTTATAATTTAAAATAGGAATAATTTCGCACAGAATGCAAAAAACTTTCTGATCGAAAGTCATATTCGAATCTTTTGCCATTTAACAAATACCCACGATTCGTGTGTTCACACGACAAACGCAACTAACGAAGTGAGCTGCGATTGATCGTGGAAAATGCGCCTACATCGAGAAAATTTTTCTGGTTTCGTCACGTCGCGCGCGCGCGCGACCTGACGAAAGCCGCCGCACGTTCGCACCTGCCTTAATTCAATTGGTTAGAATTTATACATTACAAGCAACGCGTTGAGCCATAAATTATGTAAAGAAATTACTTCGAATTCTTACAACATGAGTCGAGAAACTCTTTCGACATTTATTAATAAAAAATTATTTTACAAACTTTTCGTAACCCATATCGAAAGTTTTATTAAATCATTACATTGTCTCCAACATACAAAATAAAAAACTTTTTAAACAGCATAAACCACTTTTAAAATATATTTTACTCGTCTTATTTATTCAGAAATGTTATAAAAATTACTTTAAAAAAATAATTTAAACCGAAACTGGCTCAACCTTTTTAAGGTACTTCACAGATACGGTTTCGTTAACCATCGGAGAGATGCTTCTAAAACTGTGTCGTCCGTCTGGTGACTTATCCAAATTGGAAACTTTGGGAAAACATGCGTAAATTACAATTAAACCAAGAAAAATACAGGAACTTAAACAAAGAAAGACGATTCCTATCGCTGCCGTAGGCACGCATAGATATTGAGCTAATGATTGATACTTTAAAGTGTGTGACAAAATTGTTATCAAACTTCCACACACAAGTAAAAATGCTGCTATAATTCCGAGCGATAAATACACTTCGGGTAGGGAATTGCTTTTCTTGGAAGCTTTAGTATCGTTAATTGTAAACTTCATGTTTCTAAATAAAAATTACACAGTTTAAATAAGTAAATTAAGTGTAAAATATTAAATAAATAACTCACCTATTATTCTAAATCGAGTAGAATTTGTGAAACGATCAATTTATTAGTTTAATTAACAAACGTTTAAAAAAAATCAAGATGATACGATACGCCTTTTCCTCTTACTTAACTCAGGAAGTATCGGTTCCACCCCTCGCAGGATGAGTGAACTCATCTCTTGAATTACTTGTTAGCATATTTACATAATTATACTTTTAATTATAATTGACTGAGATTTTAATTGCGATTAGTCTAATTTTTGTAACAATTGCAAAATATTTTGTATTATTTTGCCATTAACAATAACCTTAAACTATGGCCGAAAAGAAGATGCGCCAAGAACTGGAAAAAGATAAGGTCGAAGAATTCAAAAATGATAATATTAAAGAGGTATTTTCCATATTTAACAGCGATGACGATTGTTTATCGGGTAACAATTTAAGAAAAGTCATGAAAATGGGCGATGTGGATCTTAGCGAGAAGGAAATTCGAGATATCATCAAGGCGGTCGATCCGTGCGGCAAAGGAAATATCAATTATGCCAAGTTGATATCCATGTTAGCTACAAAAATGAGAAAATCAGATGTTTTCAACGATGCCGATAACGTGATAGTTGAAGCATTCAAGGTTTTCGATAAGGATAACAAAGGCATCGTTAAAGTATCCGATTTACTTCACTCTGTTTCGGGTCTGGAGCCGAAATTCAAGATGTATATGGAAGAATTGGTACTGAATGCCGATCCTAAGAAAACGGGACAGTTTAACTATCACGAATTTATCCAAAAAATGCAAGGAAAATGGAAGAATTATTTAATTTAGATGCTTTGATTTTCAGTGTTTAAGGTTAAAGGGTACATTAGATATACACACAAAAAATTTCATATCGTCCGAGAGAACTTGATTATATTTAAGTAATTTTCATATAAAACACTTAAAATTTTCGTTCGTGTTTCACTTAACTACATTAATTCTTTTAAATTTATTATCTCTGCAAATATCTGATATTTAGCAAAATTGCGAGTCTAATAAAGGGAAGTTTAAAAAGTTAAATGCTGTCACTGTAATTTTTTACTCGTTAATATGTATTTATTTAACCCATTCCTTCTTTTGGTGACTAAAATGGCTTTTTACTTGCAAGCCCATTGTAGATTTGGCCATGCCCAGAATGGGGCACCCGGCCGCCCCATTGTGGGCATGGCCAAACCTACAATACCAAATATCTGGAGTTTTTAGACCCGTTCCCGATCGTATCCCGGGTCCTCAGAACGGCGGACTCCCACTGTAACTGCTCGGCCATTTCGCTATATCAAACTCAATTCATCTTGGATCAGAAAAACAATACAAATATAATTGTGTAATTGAAGATTTGTTCTCATACCCGCATACATATATTTTAAGGGCATGCACAAAACATTGCCCTTAAAATATAAGTACAGTAGACCATCGATTATCCGACCCCCGATTAACCGTCACATCGGTTAACCGACCGTTCTAGTCGGCAAATTTCAAATGTCCACTAGTGATGTGGCACTACAATATTTGGCTATGTCTTGGCTACTTTAATATTATTTTTGTTAAATTTTTGCGTGTTTTAGCTGGAAACACGGCTCGACCATAGAGGGAGGCCAGTATTTAAACGAGACTTAATTTTCTAATAATTTAAAAATAATTTTTAACGATATAATAGCGACGATTATTATTTTTACTGGGAAGTTCGTCGTGGGTTCGCGCCACGATCGGACAGGCTGGCTGCTTGGAGTTTTCCGGGTTTTCTCCTTGCCAATAACGACTGAATAGGAGGCCAGTTCCCCATAAAAGTCCTCCCGGAAGGCATTATTTTCCGCCCGCGCGTATAGGCCGTTCGGATACGGCTGGCTCATCGGTCGCATAGCGATCATAAACGTATGTCTAGTCGGAGAAAGAGCCTATAGAGCTAAAATCTCCATATAAACAACATCTGAGAAGAAAGAAAGGAAAGGATTATTATTTTTTAAAAAATTTGTTAAGCTTAACACCGATGAAAATTAAACACAAGGTTGGTTAATAGCGATATACTAATACATTATACTAATTACATGGGATATACTAATATACTATACTAATAATGTATTTTTTTTATTCTTTTCGGTTATCCGATTTTTCCAGTTATCCGACCAACCT